CATTTTTCTGTAACTATTATCATCAATTTATGCTTGATTCCCTTACAAGAAACAACAGGAATCTGTGAAATTCAGGTTGCATTGTCCAGTATCAAGGTATTTATTTCACAGTCACACTGGTTGAATTTTTAGCTAAAAAGTTACTGAATCGATTTTAAGTCACAGAATTGTTTCGGCTCGGATCGTTTTAACTGAACCAAGATCGTCCTTGAATCATATCAGCAGCCGTGAATCATGATATCAATCGAATCGTTGTTAAAACAAATCGTTACACCCCTATAACCAAGATGTTCAAGCAAGAAGTGAGTATACGGAGGTTCTTTACAGCACAGAGTGTCGGTTGGGGTCCAGTTGTCTGTTTTGCCCTTTAGGCACTATTTCTTCACCTAACTGCACCAATTATCACAAGGTGTGCAAAGCCTAAAATACATTCTTATCTATAACTGCATACAATTTAACATCTTTTATAAAAAATCATTAAATTTTTTAATTAATTTCTAATATTTGTCAATCTTGTGTCATCTGCACAGGTTCATTCAATCTGTTTTTCTTTTACAGTGTTTACCACAGGGATAAAAAGAATATATATACTTGGAGGTGAAAATAACTTGGTGGTAAAAGAACTGGAGAGCTTAAAGTGGCAGCCAACACGGCCATTAATGATGGAAGAGGAAGGAAAGCAGTAACGAAGAGGAGGAACCCGAGATCATCGCACTAATGGCAAGATAAGAAATGTTTTATTTTATCGAAGCTGAGGCAGGTCGAGGGGAAGAGGTCGCGCGGTAGACGAGGCGGAGGCGGTGAGTGCGGGTGGGAGAGTGTGTAGGTGGGGGTTGTGGGGTGCTGAGATTCTCAACCAACTTCTGATTCATCTCCCCGCCTGCCCCCAGGCGCTCCTCTCCTCACCTTCATCAATATTTCAACGTACGTTTTTTTAAACATCCCGCCGCCTCAGAGAAACTCTAAATAATTCAGGCAAGCAGTAGAGATAAAGAATGTCATGCATTAAAATGTGTTTTATTCTTTACATAAAAAGGCAATGAAGACAAAAGGTGTCAACCCTTTACCCTTCACTTGTTACATGATGATAAGGCACTCCAAAGAAAGGGCTGAATTTCCATAGATGGAAAATCTGTATCTCAGCTGACATCTACTCAGATTAATAGATGGGTAAACTAGTTTAAAAGGTTATGTTGCGGTAATCTGCATCAACCTATTATTTAACATCTTTCACTGAGTGTATTAAAAGGTTGTTGAAATAAAAATGAAAAAAGACAAATCTTTGTAGTGGCTGTAGTGTTTTTTGATCAGGTTTAAAAGTATCTGAAAAATTAAAGCTACGTTCACACGGAATGCGTTTTGAGCATCAAAAACGCGCYCAACGAGTCAACTTGGATGCTTGTGCTCGTTCAGGTCAGACGCGTTCAGTGTGAACGTAGATTCTGGTTGTTTTCCTCTGCCGGTCTCTGTTTAATGGCGGATGAAATAAAGAAYGTGGCTTTGCTTTATTTACTGAGTGCAAGAGAACATCACACTCAGACAATTAATTCATAATTAATTCACCAGATAATTCAAAGGAATTCTGAGTTTGGTGAGTTTCACCCCTCCAGGAGCTGTGAGCTGAAGAGGCTCGCTTTCAGCACTGTTTTTATTCCCGAGCCCAGTTTGTCGAGCCGCTGACCCGCATCGGGGCCGATATCTCCTGCCAGAACAATAACTACAGACGGTCGATTTCAGCTAAAGAGCTCCTGTCAGTCTGTCTCAGGTTAACATCCAGGAAACTGTCACGTGGAAAATGCACCGCAACGTCACAGAGCAGAGTCTCTCTGATTGGTTGACGAGGCGCGTCGAGCAGCAAAAGTTCAGATTTTTCAACTCAAGCGTCGGTTGCTTTGGATGCGCCGCGCACACGTGAAACGCTCAAACCGCACTTACCACTTCAAAACACGCTGCGCTAAACGTGCCGCAGCACTTCCTGACGCTCCTTGGCACGCGTCCACCATAGACTTTGCATCTAAACCCGACGCTCCTGATGCTCAAAACGCATTTGTTCTGAACCTAGCAACAGATAAGTTGTCTTTGTTTGTTTTACCGCATTTTTTTTACATGAACATAAAATTCTGGTTACTCATGTACATTTTAGTGTTTACATATTCATAAATTTAATTTTTTTTTACAAATTCAAATTAGAAACATTTAAAACCAGGTCTGCATGAGATTAGAAAAAAATTCGGACTGCACACAGACGAGGAAATGACTACAAACTTTATCGGCACAAAAACATTCCTCGCTAAAAGCATGCAGCAGCGTGGATACGACCATGGTGAGAGTCAGATTACTGCAGTATTTTCTAAAGCTTATACCGGGGTATGAAAATGATCAATAATCAGAATATTAGTCGACAACATATATAAACCCAAATTTTCCTCACTCCTCATCGTCTCTTCTGTCATCACTAACATCCAAGCTCGGAATGGGCAACAAACCAGTAAAAATCCATGTGACTGACCAAATCTACTCTTGGAATGAGAAACAAGAACACATGCATGGTATTTGAAATAAAAGACCTATGATTTATAGAAGTCCAAGAAGCTCTGTGTGATATTGATATCATGTTTACTGATATTGCAATGGCGATAAATGTTGATTGATTGTTCAGCCCTATTTAAAATCATAGTTCATTTCTTTTGAACTTTGTTTCTTTGGAAACGTATGAACAGTTACTATCTTACTTGATGTAGCTGGCTATTTGGAGTCATCATTAGGTTGTCGATCCAGTCACAGTTACACCATTTCTCTAAACCAAGGTCAGTTTAAAAGCAATGTACAAAAGGTAATATATTATTGTTCATAGCTTTGCTACAGAAACCTACTTCATATGATGCAAATTATCTATTTAAGACARCAGAGAAAGAAATCTTGTGGTAAAAAAAGAATAACTGAAATCTAACAATTTGTTCCTTCTTTCTTATGACCAATAAATGTTTGTATTTTACGTGCAGACAGAAAATCCATGACAGACACGTAAGAGACATTAGCTGAAACTAGTTTTAGCAGACATTCATTTATTTTACATGAAATATGCAAGTCCTTGTCTCTCAAAGGCAACAAACAACAATCAGTTTTCTAGTGTTCCTTAGATAAAATACATTTACATACAAAAAAAACGCTAAATTAAACACTTTGTTTCTGCAGCTGTTCGATTTATTAGCCAACGTATAATAAACCACCATCTGAAAGAGGYGACAACATCCATTTCAAATGCTCCCTTCTTGTCTTTTCACTCTCTACCACTGATCCTCCTTCAGTCTTTCTTTAATATCTTTTATGAATATTCCAGCTCTGCTGAGAGGACGGCTGTTTGTTATAGAGCACTACTCTTTGAAGATCACCCTCTTCAAATTGTGCGGAAATAATACTCCATTAGGCAAAGCAAATTAGTCCTCGGTTTAATTACTAGCTCTGTTCCCGCAGTGAGGWTGCGTACAATATTAACTTTATAATCATTTCTTGAACAAATAATTTAAAAACTAATTCACCGAGGACTAGTGAAAGCCTATGAATTGATGAAAAAGGGGGCAGTGGGAAAAAAATGAATGCCCAATTTAGTAAATAAAAGCAGCAGAGAGGCCACTTTGGTGTGAATCCAGTAAATCTATCTTGATTAGAAAGATGTGTAAAAGAACCAATGCTAACACACAATCCAGATGTGCTGCCACGAAAAGGAAAAAGGAACAAAAATCAGGGTTCCCACACCTTGGTCAACATCAAATTCAAGGACCTTTCAAGGAATTTCCAGTACCAATTTCCTCAAATTCAATAACAGAAATTGTTGAGTCAGAATCAATGAAATAAAGTGGATTAAATGTTTACCCTACATTCATTTCTACAATACATGGACATCATGCAATTATGTTCTGCGAGGTTCTGCAGCTCAGTTTGGGAGGAGGGGATGTGAACATGTTCAGACCCTCGGTGAGGACAGGAGGAGCTGTGGTGCTCTCACCTGGGCTCAGAAAGAAAGACCCACCCTGCTCTGCTCTGATTGGCTAAAGTGATGACAATGGCTCACGTTATTTGTTGAAAGCCACGTCAATTTACCATAATCCCGAGTTATCCACTGCAACAAATGTAGTTAGTTTTTTTTATTTATTATGTTTATGTATATGTGTATATATATATATATATATATATATATATATATTACAAATTTTTGGCTGTTTTCACAAACTTTCCAGGGTCTTAAAATCATTTTTTCAAATTCACAAACTTTCAAGGATTCCATGGACCCGTGGGAAACCTGAGAAATATAATTAATAAATGTAACAGATGTTAGAGCTGGGCGGTTTACTGGTTCACATCGAAAACTTTTTTTTTTGTTATGACATGACAATTCCAGTTGAAATAGCCTGAAGACGTTTGGAACGTTGCGTCACACCCGCCAGCAAACTATTTCACGGGGGGACGCTTTTCCGTGCTACACTGCTGATCACACATACAGGAACTAGAAGCACACAGAACAAGCTAGAGTCGTCGTGAGAGATGCAATCGCCACCCACTGCAAATTTTTGAGAAGGCCCACACTGGCTGACAAAAAAAAAAACTCCCATTTTCGCCTTCGTTAAATGTAGAACGCACCTCTTCAGTAATGTGCAAAGATAGATGTCATGCATAAAGTAAATTTGTCTGATAATGATCTTTGCTCAGCTCTTTCACGACTGTACTCCCCTCACTGCTGTGACGTAAGCCCAGAATGTGTGACTAAGGTCTACAACCAGGGGAGGAAGCAAAAAAAWCAGAGGAAGGAAAACGCAACACAGATAGAACTACGGTGAAAGAAAAAAGTCACAAAACAGTTTCTGTGTTGCAGAAAGAGATCAGCTGACCACAGTTTGCTCATCAACAAGCAGTGTTTGTATATTTTGACATGAGCCTGAGCTGTGATGAGAAAACAAATACAGTCCAATAATACATTAAATAAATTTAACTTCAGTCTGGCTAAATGCAGATCTCTCACTTATTATTCTGTTTGAACTTAAAGGCACAGTGTGTAGGATTTGTTGTTTTCAGCGACATCTAGTGGTTGAGTGGTTGAATCATCCTCCCTGGTCCTCCCCCCGCCCCCGCCCCCAC